ATTCAAGCTGCCTTCCTTCCCAACAAAGTAGATGCAGTCGTTTCAAGCAGGAGTGAATACAGTTAAACTGAATAGTGAGGCTGTGTGATCCATCTCCTTTGACACTGACAGCTTTACTTCACAATAGGATCTGTACATTTCGATGTCTGTGACTAGTTATCTGAATTCATAAATACTGCCAGTAGAAGGCTTTGTGAACAGCATTTACTGATGGCCCACTACATTGTGATTGACTGGGTCTTTTTTTGTACTCTATAAAGCTCAGGTTGGAAGCAGCACAAATATAAATGCAGAATACTTAAAATCGTATCTGCCTCTAATAAAGGCATAACATGCTAAGAAAGGAAACAATAGCTTTATGTTTTTCTTCACATTTTCTTGAGAAAATAGTTTTCATGCCTAATGACAATTTGAAGGCTGACCTTTCCTGTGCTGCAGTGTGATATTTAGGTGATGCCAGCTTGTCATACATCTAGTGGCAATTGCATGACAAAGACAAGCTGCAAACAAAGTAATAGCAATAGCAATTAAAATAATAATAGTTGCCAAGTGCAAATGTAAATTTAGTATATGTTATGTCTCATAGCTAAAATCGAAAGATGTTCTTATTAATTAAAGAACATATTATTTTACTGTTTTTACATTTATGTAAACACAAACATTTTGAAGTTTATATTTTCTTATTTTCTTGCATGAGTTTTTTTCCTTAATACAAACACTATGGGTAGCTATAAAAGAATGATAAAAGCTGCTGACAATTTTGAAGAGGGGGCACCCAGAGGTGTCTGCACATACCTGCTTCATCTTTCTGTATCCTCCAATTCACCAGAAAGGCTGGGTGATCTGATCAGGAAAAGCTTCAGAACTTGCTCATATTGCATAAGCCTGCCCACTTCCCCCACTACCTTCCACATATTCCTAGTCCTTAGTGATGCAGCACATAATAGTAATTGACCAATATGAATGTGCCAGGGTGGGTCTTAGCAACAGGTTTTGCCTAATCAGAACAGCCAAGCATTCAAGCAAAGCAGAGGACATGGGAAGCAGCTTTCAACATTCATAGACCCTACTGGCAATCAAATCTAAATTCAACAACAGAACTTTAGTATATTTCTACTTACCAATGTTTAGATATGGTGGTTGTGCTAGTTTTATTTTTTCAGGCTAAGAATCTTTTCAGCAAGTACAGAAAATACCTGTTGCTCTTGCCAAGAATCCATGTGTGACATTCATAGCTGCCCCCATACAATGGACACATAAGTGTAGCCACAAAGGGATAGAAATGGTGTAATTTAAACAATTGCCATATGTGAATAAAGGAGGAAACAACTAGATAGAAAAGCGAATGAACACAGATACCATTTTATAGGTTTAGATACACTTTAAAGTGGCATAGTCTTAGAAATATTTTTACTCCAGAGTGTATTCAAATAATTTTGTAACTACCACAATGTTACTTTATCAAAATCATTAGGAAAGGGATCATGACAAATATTTAGATAAAAAAAGTAAAGCATGTGAGTTTTATATTTATAAATTAGATATATACAATAATTTTGTCTCTGTGGAAGTAGTGCTCTGTTCCAGTCCTTAAAGGTCACCAAATGTGCTTGTTTATCAGTTCAGTTCTCTTCATTAGATCAGTGAACGTTTTGAAGTACACTGTGTGGATAATATAGTATGTAATTTTTTTCTCTTGATCTGCTTTGCATCACACAAAATGCAATGAATCACAAATCTCACTATGCATTTTTTTATTGAAAATCAGAGAATTAAAATGTTCCTAGCTGTACTAGCATTAGTTCTTTTTAATGTCTCCCACTCCTTGATTTACCATTGGCACTAGAGTTGCCACCTGTCCCGAATTCACCTGGATAGTCTGGGTTTTGAGTCCTGTATGTGCTGTGTGTGGGTTTCAGCTGGCCTGACACCAGGAAACAGCACATACAGGACTTAAAACCGAAACTGTCCAGGTGACTCTGGGACAGGTGGCAACCCTAATTGGCACCACAACCAATAATGGCTGGCTGATTTGCAGTGCTTCCCTCCTTTTCATTGCAGACCTCGTCTAAAATAAGCTTACCGCAAAAAAACAGCAAAAAAAGTTTAAATAAAAACTTTTTACTATGACGTAACCCGGGTGGAAGACACTCATTATTTTTCCAGAATCACTACACAACAATAACATGCTTGCAATTGATTTATTGGGACATGATGATAATCTAATATTATTGGTATCATTGTTAATAAGATAGTGAAATAAGATAGTAAGTGGTCTGATCTATTTGGTATGTAATGGGCATCTAACTTTTGGACATTCATAAGCAATGGGAACATTGTTAAAAAACATATGGATTTATTTGGTGAATGAGCACTTGCACTATATATATATTATACACATTTTTTTTACATAACACAACTATCACTTTTATTAGGATATGTTACTTCTTGGGGCCATTATAGGTATGAAGTTGGATCCTAGCATCTATTTTATGCACTCACACCTGGCTGCATCCCAATGTTATATTATACGATTGATACTTGTTTATAGATATCCTGAGGCAGAGATTGCGCTTCTCATATTTGATCGCCGTCGGTTCTCTCTCCATCCTCTCTGTTGTCCTTGACTGTTCCTGGGGATGGCCCCCCCCCGACTGTGCGGATCCACTCACCACTAATGTCCCGCTCATGGTATTTATGTATGTATTTAATTGGTTAAATTTTGTTACTGGTTTGTCAATTATGTTTGAAATATTAATATACTGATTGGCATATTCATGTGAATCCTAAAGGTTACCTCCGACTTCCTGATGAAGTGAAATGCATAGAAGGCTGGACGCAGTACAGACTTGCAGTATATCTTACTTTGATTATGACTATTTATATAACATTATTATAATGTAATTGATAAAATAAGTTCATTGTATTTATTATGCATGTATCATGCACGTGTACAGAGTCCAGGGAGGTTTTATGCTGTTTGATCATGGATACTAGCGGGTATATTTTTATCATGTGGATCATGTAATCTTTTAATAAATAAATGTTATTTTACTATGTAATTTTGTTATTACTATGTTGTATTATCCCTAATTGCATTTTTTGACACCTTAAAAGCCCCATCTATCTCTTTTTTTTGCTGTTTACCTATATTAGGGGTGCGGTGTCCTTGTTCATGTAGTGATTCAAAACTTTTACTATAAAATAAGCTTACCATCACATTGCAAATGCTGGGATTTTCCATGCATATTCTCTTTCTCCTCAACTCTAACTTGCTGAAATTTGTAGGTAAACATCAAGTCAGTATCAGATTCTACTTACAACAGAAAAAAAAACATGACTAGAGCCCAGTAAAGAGGAACAGTGCTTGGAAGGGATGTAGAAAAAGTAGAAAAAATGGTGGCATTATTTGTTGTATATTTGTTGTATATGGTAGATCTATATGGAAGCATTTGAATTTGAAACATCACCCCATTAATAGATGTGTAAGTGTAGCCTTATACATGTTGCAGAAGGCAATGTTCTAATTAGCATAAGAAAACATTTCCCCCCCCAAAAAAAATATACACTAATTCCTGACCCTAAAAAAATTCCCAAAGCTGTTCCTTCTTTATCACATTTTCTTTTTCTTACTAGAAATCTGTTTTGCAATTCTGTTCATCTGAGCTACTGCAGATGTAATAGTTTTTCATTCTTAATATACAGTATGTTCTGTGAAATAGAAGGTTTTTTGCACAGGAAGAACCATCATAAAAACAGTAATGCACAAAGCCATGAGCGTTCTTTCCTTCAACGATGCAGTAACTGTTCTTTCTCTAGTAGTAGAGAAATTTAGTGTTAGGAGACTGTGTTTGAATTTGTCTGACACTGAAAGAATATTTTTTTCAGTGCAGTCAAAAAGAAGAGAATCTGACTTGATGACCAACAGCTGCAAAAAATAACATATGTGCACTGAGGCCAGTATTTTACTTTATCATGTAAAACAAACTTTTGATGTCTTTCAGATCTTATGGTGTTTAAAACACTCAAGGTAAGCAGGAAGTTATCCCTAATGCACTGTCCCATAATTAATCTGTTCTTATTACTTGTAATCCTACCTCATTTATATGCCTAAACCTTAGCTCTCTGTAACTAATAGTCCCCACGCCTGTCCCCGATTTAGCATGATATCACCCGTGAAGCTGTACATCTACTTGTCAAAGCAATGAATTAGCAATAGCAAATGGTGATGTTAGTGACTGTATGAAAAGAATGGCTTATAAAGACTATCAGGACTATTCACAAAAGGGTGAAGAGTTTGGAGAAGGCAGGAGAAGTAAACAATCTAGGACAGCATAGCTGAACTGGAAAGTGAGCTGAATTGGAGAATTTTTCTAAATCGGCTAGTTTGGCCTAGATTGTTCACTTCTCCTGCCTTCTCCAAACTCTTCACCCTTTTATGACTAACCCTGTATAACTAGTAGAGGGAAGGCAACAAGCTGTTTGGTCATAGTTTTTTCAAACAATTGCACATGACATGATCTTATGTTTTTAGTTGATCACAAATGGTCGTGCTTTACACCAATCTAGCTGTGAATCTTGTAGTGGATCAACATACATTTGCACAAAATTAGGAAAATAATTAATAATTTTGAATATTGGTATATTACATCAGCTTACATAGAAAAAAAGCATCCATCAATGAGCAATTTCAATTATCTGTTTTATTGGATTGTGAAGTGACCCTCAAATAACTGATTTAATCAGTTTTAGGCGGACATTTTATGTAATGAAACAATATGTTAGACTTAAAATTTTAAATGATATAGGTCTCGTTAAAATGCTCACATTCATATAGCGTTACAAAGCTCCTGTCTGCCAGCCACTGCATCAGTGAAATTAAATAATGGCACAGCACAATTTATGACTGAAATTATTAAATTAATATTGAGTGTTTTACTATATATATATATATATATATATATATATATAAGGATTATGTGTTTGAAAAATTTTCTTACTTAGGATGTCGTATGTCAGGCAAGGATCTCTCCAAGGCGATATTGTTGCTAACATATATATTAAAACCATTTTCTCTATAAGCCGTGTCATCTTGGTCCAGTTCACTGACAGGATATGGCTTCCCATGTTCACCTTTGCCTGGAAGGGAAAATGAAAAATTATCAATTTCCTATGGGAAATAATAGCACAAGCCAGATTATCCCATTTATCCAATTTGTATGCAATGCAAGTGTTTTTTCTCTACATTAGTATGTTAAAACTATTTAAATGAAATGCATCCACATCTTTGGCGTTTGACATATAATTTCATAAATGCCCTTGGGACTTGCAGTTAAAGTAGTTTTTATGTTTGCAAAACAATTCACCCATCAACTTGGTAAGCCATATGATACATACATCAAAGAATCATATGGAATTAACTATGCAGTGTGATATTTCTTTAACTTAAAATACAATACTATACAATTAATAAAGTCATGATATCCAAGAAACATTTAAACTGTACAAAAGCTGGTTAATCCACATATTTTGTTTGTTTGTATAATACACTGCAGCCAGATTCAGAGCACAAATGCATTGCCCTGGACTTGTCAGTGTAGTTTCAACAATTTCTTGTTCGACCGGAGTGTATCTCTGAAATTGTATTCCCTATGTAAATTATTTACCTTTACTGCCTTCAGTTTCTGTTTCAAATTGGCTCTTACCAATTTGTCTGGTGCGGAGTGGTAATACAGGCACTGGTAACCATGATGTGTCCATTCACCACTGCCCATTTCCCATTTTGTAAATGTAATTAGATGAGGGGTTACCGCTGGCTGCACTATTCTATCTCACAGGGGCTGCTGCAACAAAGACACAGCCATTCACTATTTCTCTGAAAAGGCTCTCAATAGAGGAAACTGTGACTTATTTTAAATAGAAACCATGGAATTTGCAGGTGATAAACACATTTCACAGCATATCTTGGCATCACAAAAACAATAATATAGTGTAGGAAACAGATTGGTATTTAGCTAGATCAGGTAGCTGCTTTAGATGCCATTATGACCTTAAGAATACATGGGTCTGTAGGGTATAATGACCGGACAGTGGAAACTTGCAGGACATATATAGATCAACTGCTCCCTTAAATATTTAAATCATGTAAATCTACCATACAGCAAGACATTTCGCTTCAATCTTATCTGTTTCTTAAGTCATAGAAATATTTTTTTAGATTGCTCATAATGTCACATAATTTCTGGTGCTCAATTTAAATTAAATTTAAAAAAAACCTACCCAAAATATTGGTGCAAGTTCATATAACAAATGCTATAAAAGAGGCAAGAAAGTATAGCCAGACAGGTTATGGTGACGGGGAGACAACAGGAATAAATGCATGCTCTATGAAGTCCATGCAAAGTACAGCAGAGTCTTGTTAATGTGACACTAATCTCACTAATCACTAATCTCAGGAGTTAAATCTTAGAAATGCATTCTAGTAACTATTAACAAAAATGTACTTGTGTATCACTCAGATACTGTAGATCCTCAAATCAGTTCTACATTTATGCTGACATTGCCTTTTTTTCTGAAAGGTGGCTATGTTTGTTCCCCATGGTCCCTGTGTGTGTTGAAAAGTAGCCACCACTTCAAACTCACTCCCATGGTGGATTATAATCTCACGTTTAGTTAGCTAATTTGTATTGAAGGTATAGTCTATCTTTCATTTGCACTTTGGATAATATTTTTCTATCTACTCTATATTATACAAGTTGGATAATATCATTACATACTATGAGTAAGCGGGTCACCTTCCTTTCACTGACCTTTGGGACTTGAGGAAGCTTTTTATAAGGCATTGTATTAGACTAGCTTTGACTGAGCAAGCAGAGATTGTATGAAAAGATATCCCATAATAATTAAAATTAATGCTAGTTATTCATGTTCCAGTTTCTTTTGCTATACGTTTTCAGAAGGAATTATTCTGTTAAAGACTTCAAAATGCTAAAAAGCTGGTTTCTCTGTGTTAAATTGGCTGTGTCGTGTAGTTTTGAGCTATGCAGTGGTAAGCCTGCCAAGTTCAATCTCCCTTACAGACCATAAAATTTAGCTTATTTTGTGAAAGTGAAATAGGATAAGGCAAACATCTTCTCCTTGCAAATTGTACTCATAAGATCTTCTGAGTATTTATTGGAAGTTGCTGCCCTGCTGCTGTTTTCCCTAAATATATTCATATCTTGTGACCAAATGTGAATTTTATGCCCAGCTGAAAGTGTCCATTTTTATTGTAAAAAATAAAGACTGAAGGAAACTTACTTGGCTGTGGCCATAAGTATGTCAGATGTATACAGGGGTAACTTGATGCCCACATAAAGTGACTGGACATAATAAAGATTTCCTTCAGATAAAAGTTACATTCTTTCAACTTACTCACCAGCTGTTCAGTGATTTATAGTGTGTGGTTCATTCATTTCTGAAGGATATCTTAGGGCTATATGAAGTCTGAGCTATTGCCTTAAATAAGCTGTTCTCAATTGGGCAGATTGTTAAAGTTCAACTCTGGGCTATTTTTGTTTTAATTTTCCCTCAGTAGGTGTTAAATGAACCTTCATTCTGGAACTGTTCCCCACAGCAATCACTTTTCAGATGTGCCTTCAGAAGTGAAGTAGATGTTCTTGGATTAAATGATGCCCTAAAGACATACTATGAGTGCAGGACATCACAGACCTTCCTATTTCTGATGGTAACAGAGGAGGTAATACAGTACACATAATTCCATAATTGCACAACAGTAACTCTCACTAATAATTCTCAGTAGATTTAAAGATATCTTGCTCTAAGGAGCTGGAAGATATGTTTTTCTCTAGCACTAGCTTTGCTTTCTAAGTTTAAATCATTACTAAGAGCTTTCTGTACCACACTTAGTTGAAAACGTGTGCACCAAGCATATATTCAACACCATACTTCACAGATTCCTAAAAATTGAACCAGGAAGTTGTTTGCTACAACAGACATCCTAAATTTAATGGAAATCATTATTTCTGTTTTCATTGGGTGGCATGAACAATATCCGTGATAAAGATATGATCTGGAACAGTGCTACCAATTTGATTTGGTCCTATTGTTGAGAGCCACGCATATAGTATTGTACTGCTCTTGTGGTACCCTTGCATTTAAATAAAACTAGTTCTGACATCCTGCCTCTGACCTGCTTCGATTCTAAGTTTGCTAAACATTATACTAGGTGTTTAAACATTTTAAATAGTTGTATCCCCAGTATTAAAGTGTAATCACTGCTTGTTTGCCAGTGTTTGAATTTTACCTGTGCTTAGAAAAAATGGTGATCATGGCATATCTACTCCTTGTGCTCTAAACAACACTACACATGTCCACCGTGATAGGTGGGAAGCTATGAAAAGCAGCTGCAGTGGCCAGCAAATCGAAAGTGCAAACACACAGGCACCATTTCCGCTATCTTTGCAATCCTACAAGAGACTAATTTCTTCAAATTATATTAGATTGTTCAATGCATGACTCGATTATATTGCAAGAAATCATTGCAAACTATTACTATTAGCGAATCCTATTAGCCTCAAATGGCCATCTAACTTTGTGAGCTGATTGACTTGCTTGACTTGTAAGTCCCCACAGTAAAGAAACACTACTATATCATATTCTATATATGGTCAAGGGAGCTCCAGATACCTCATTAAGTTCCACTTTTAATAAGGAATATAGTATCTCTTAGTGGCAATATTAAATTAACATTAAATATACTGTTACACAGTTTTATAAATTCTAACTATAAGTATCACAAACATGTTCAGGAAATGCATTTGAGTGCAATGCTGGTTGTAATTTATGATCAGAAAAGAGAGCCTCCAATGCAGTGTTTTGTTACAGTTAATTACCACAGTAAATACCAATGCAAGGGACTTTTATTAGGAGCCACGAGGCACCACTGACCAGGGACTTTTAACTGGGCCATACATGTAAAACTCCCTCTGTCAATGTAAATGGGCCTTTAATAACAGGGCATAAAAGGGTACCGCTAAGTACCAAAGCAATGTTCCTATTATCAAAAGTAAAGTATAAAAGACAAAAGCAACAAAGCAATGTTCCTATTATCAAACGTAAAGTATAAAAGACAAAAGCAACAAAGCGCCCCCTTGTGTGAAATATTCTTTTATTGGAATAATAAAAACAGTTATAAATACTCACAATTATAAAATTTCAGTCACGCTTGTCAATAAGAGACCACAAGATCAGTGTCTGAGGATAGTTCCGCTCCGACTGCGTATAAAAAGCTGCCTCCGGTCACATCACCATACAATCGTGCCACCGGCTGCTTTTAGGCTGGATTTGTGCGTTTCAGGGGCATACCCCCTTCCTCAGAATCACAGGTGATTCAGATATGCACAGATATTTCAGACAGCTTTGGTAAAAGTGGTGTTTTTGAAAAAAAAAAAAGCCTCAAGGGGAATGGATCAAAAGGACTTAAAGAGAACCAATTCAGATATTCAGGACATGACAGAGAAAATAAAACATTTTATTGCAGATGTTAGGGTTAGTTTTAAATGTCTGTAAATCAACACAAGTGCCATTAGTAAATAGCTGGGAAAGATACTTAATACCCCCTTTACCTACTAAATAGTGTCTGGGTGATCATATAATTTTGACAAGTTTGGGTTCAACTACCAGAGTCATATTTCAATGTTTAGTTTTAGCTGAATGGGCAGCGCTAATATCCCAACCCAATCTACAGATATGCCAATCAAATGAGTGAGGTGTTTAAACTAAAGCTGCTGCAATATAGATCCTTGGGGTCTCATAGATGAATATACAAAAAAACAGTGCTAATTAAACTAAAGCTAATAACAAATGAATACAAATGATCACATAATTATTTACAATTAATATATTCACATTTGTTCATATAATTATTTGCTGTCACGTATAATTTCTTTAGCAATGTGAGTGTATACACAATTTTATTTAGCGTTATACACTTGTATAGGAACAACACTGAATGAATATTTATGTATTTTGATCACACATAGTCACGTTTAAGTTGATAATCTGACACTTTTTTGTATACATACACTTCTATTAATTTGTTATTTGCTTTAGTTTAATTAGCGCTGTGTATTTATGTA